TAGAAATCATTTCACTCGCTACTGATGTACAGACACTAGGGTGAACACAGCAGCTGTTTGGAATTACATAGCAATATTGCTCAACAGTTTTGGAGAGGAAGCAGAGGCCACTGTACTGCAGAGAAAGCACTGGAGGACCTATCACATGGGCACATAATGCAGTTATTAAATGTGCAGTTTGAAAGATACACTGTTAAGACATCTGTAGGTAACCTATTATTTTCCAAAAAGTAAATTAAAAGGTCTAATATATAATGTCTAATGTATAAACTTTGCACTCTTCTTGGTGGCATTTGCAACTGTAGAATAATTTATATGTTCAACTGCGAGCCCATAACTACTTACAAGTAATTGCAAGAAGTGCATGGACTTATTCTTTGTTGAATACCTTAGTGTCAGACAGTTCTCCTGTGTAGTTTAGCACCACCTATTGTTGTCCTTCAGTTAAAAAGATGTTCTACTTCTTAATATCCAGAGAGAATATAGTTGCTCATTTCTATTCAGCATTTTCTTTTTCCATCAAGTTATTTTTAACAGTGTGTTTTTAGATTCTAAAGTCTCTGCAATATAAATAATTGATGAAAACCATAGGGAATTAAAAACAAGAAGATGTAGTAGGTAAGGTAAATTCTCTACTGCATTGTAAAATAGCCTATATTAATGACAATGGTAGTTATGGATACCATGTCTAGCACATGCAGAATATCTGATCAAAATGGGTTTTTTTCGTCTGAGTGGATCAAATATAGAGATTGCTACTGAAAATGTGAATTTTAAAAATGAAATGTAAACACCTTGTATATACCACCAGATTTACATTGCTGTATGTGCCTTGTGACTACTAGAAATTTAGTAATTTGTTTTTTAAACTTCTCAGCAGAACCATGAAAACATATTCCTCAAGGAATATTGCCTCTGATCTAGAGTACGTGTTTCAGTGATGTGAGTGACACTTAAGGGAGCATTTCAGATGGCAAATGCTTCCCATCTTATATTTATATCTATAAATATTTATACAGCACTTTAGTGCACTTAACCATGTACTGATTAACCCTGCATTTGTCCTGATGAAGAATCAGAATGGATTTCTTTGAAGATTGCTCTCTTCATTTGGAAGCTGGGGATTAATTTTTGAAGCTCCCTCCTTATTTTGAGGGAGCAGAACAAGAGTCTGAAGGATAGACACCTTGGGTGGTAGGGTTCTAGTTTTGGTTACTGCAGTCTAAACAAACAAATTATGGTGGAAAGGCCAAGGATAGAAGCAGCCCAGTGTAGAGCCATTAAGGTTGTAATTTACTGTGGCCGGTTTTGCTTTTCCAGATACCTTTTTCTTGAGCAGAGACCTATCAGTTGCAAGGCTCACAGTGAAAAAACGATAGGCAGGGGAGGCTTTAGAGGGACTGGCTTAGCAGACAGGCGGTGGCAGAGTACAGCAAGGGGACAGTAGTGGCTACACAGAATAAGAGATCCAGGTGAGTTTGCTGATTACTTGCATGGAGAAGGGAGTGATGGATAAGCAAAAAGAAAGTTGAGTTCCACAAACACTGATAAATTTACACTGCTTTTCACCATGCTAAACAGCTGGGTACTTGAAGGCTTCTTTCTATCCCAAATAACAATGAGAAAAATTCCTTTACCTATCCCAAATGATCACTGTTTTGTGACTCTCTCTCCAAGCAGAACACCCATCCTGTCAGGAATAATTTGAGAAAGAGCAGCCCAGGCAAGAAGAGGCCGAGCCAGAACACTGATTCCTGCAGCAAAATTTCCCCCTGTTGATAGCTCAGGACAAGGCCCTGCCGCATCAGTCTCCACGAATACAAAGTAGGCAGTGCATGGAAGTTATGCGGAGGGCACACACAGCATTGCCGGCTTCACAGGGAATAGCTGATCATACACCAAAGTTACGGCCATGGTTTGGTCCTTGACTGAGCTCTGAAAAAAACTTCAAGCTAGTAAGTCTCTCTCTGTGGTGCTGCGGACGCTGATGTAACCACAGTTGAATGTCTGGCTCCTTGGAGAGCTAATCAGTCTGGTGCAGCTGTTTGTGTCAGATTTTATGAGAAACAGAGACTGAATTATACCCCTGCTTTCAAACATTGTCTCCAACCTGAGAGAAGTCCTCACCCCAGAGCATGCCTGAATCTGTGCCAAGGCATTTAATTACCTCTGACCACGTTGCTAATGGGGTGGACATGCCACGGAATTGGGTTGCGATGGAACACCCAGTGAGTCACACCCAGAGAGCTGAGAAAACCGAAGCCCTAGATCGCAAGGGTTCAATTAGACTCCAAGTAAGGAAAAAAGCAGATTTTTTCCTAGCACTTTTACATCTGTAGCTGCTGTCTTTTCCTCTTTTCACACAACCGACAGTTCTAGACCACTTACTTTCCCTGCTCTCATCAGTGCATACTTGACCTCAGAAAAGTAGAATTTAATGGTCTGGCTGCAAAACATGGGATCCAAAAGACCTGTGTTCATTTCCTAACGGTGTCATCAGCATGACACAAGGCTAACAGTTCTTTTCTGTATCTCAGTCTCCTTTAAATCTTTGTCCCTCATCCTTTGCAGATGCTTTCTCATATCATGGTATTTTCTTTATCACCTAAGGGAAAAAGAGTCATTAAATAAACATTTTCAATGTTCAAAAAATAAACAAACAAAAAAACCTTTAAGACAGGATCAAGCCACCTTCTAGAACAAATGACAAAAGGGTTCCAGTTTTATTGGTTAAAAGATAAATCCAATAATATCATGGCTTTTTAGCTTACCTCATGATATTTCAAGGACTAGTCTGTGGTATTTTTAACATTTGTGGCAATGTGCTGTCCCAGAGCTGAATGCTTTGATGCCAGCGGTGATTTCTATGCCTGAGGCATGTATGGAGTCCTAAATATAAACCTCAGTCCATGAACTAAAATTACTAATGGAACTTGGCTCTAGCCGCAGAAAGGGCTTAAAATCATCTGCCTCAAGTCCTATTTATCATGCATCCTTTGCTTGCTGGAGTATACTGTATTAGATATGCAACTATTCCTATTCTTGTATTATGACCATTGTATTAATCAAAATTGCCATTATTAAGCCTCTATTTCTTCCTAGGAATTCCCACATTCTGTACGTATTTCTGTATACATGCATTTAGCCTGATATGCCCATGGTACATGGACCTATGAGCCCAACCATGTCGGTTTCACTGATCATTCGCCATTCAGACCCTCTGTGGAAAGGGACCTCCTACAGTCAGGGAGTCAGTTGCAGATGCCAGATTTTCTAGGAATCTTGCACAATGACTAAATACTTCTTTTTCATCCAGAACAAAATATCTTACAAGAAACAAACAATTGAGAAGACTAGTAAACCTGCTGAGATCAGAAGCAACCAGGATGATTAAGGGAATGGAACATCTCTCGTGTGAAGAGAGGCTGAGTGAGCTGGGCCTGTTTTCTCTGGAGAAGAGAAGGCTCAGAGGGGATATGATTAATATGTATAAGTTCAGGAAGGGAGAATGCAGGGAGGAAGGGGACAAGCTGTTTTCACTGGTGGCCAGCGATAGGACGAGGGGTAATGGCCATAAGCTGGAGCACAGGAAGTTCCATCTGCATGTGAGGAGGAACTTCTGTACTGTTAGGGTGACAGAGCAGTGGAACAGGCTACCCAGGGGGGTTGTGGAGTCTCCTTCTCTGGAGGTCTTCAAAACCCGCCTGGATGCCACCCTGTGCCACATGCTGTAGGTGTGCCTGCTTGAGCAGGAAGGTTGGACTAGATGATCTCTAGAGGTCCCTTCCAACCTTAAATATTCTGTGATTCTGTGAGAAGCAATAATAGAGTCATGTATTGGACCCTCCACGTCACCAGTAATTTTTATTATTTCAAATTGATCCTTGAAATCTGTTGTGACCAAGGACAGATATGCAAAGGGACTGATGTAGCTGCCCTTGGAACTGGAATTTACATCTCTAATCAAGTTATTTGTGGCAATTAATACAGCAAATAAACAAAAAAAGGAGAAATTGTGAAGATTGCCACGAGGTAGGGCAGAAAGGTGCTTAAACTGAACTTTTCTTTTTCCTTAGCATACTTAGCAAGGAAGTAAAATCCACTTTTAATACAGTAGATTAAAGATTATTTAATTCTTTTCCTCCAGGCATGTACAGAAATTTACTGACAAGTGCATCACTGCATGGATCACTGCATGGCTAAGAGTGTTGTTTAGTCAGGATTTGAAGTGACCTGATAAAAATCTGCAGGAACCATAATTAAATTTATGACATTATTTCTCAACTAATCAAGCAACAACCTGCTGCTAAATTTCCCTCTCCTCTTTTTTTCTTGTCCATCAAAATCATCTTTTTCTTTTAACAAGCCTACATTAAATCTCTCTCTCTACCAAGAATTATATGACGCTGCCCTGCATGTACAGAAGTTGTACTTGAGAACATACAGTTTGCCAAAATAGCAAAAAAGAATCTTTTTTTTTTTTTTTAAGAATTTAATGATAGGATCGCCATTTTCAAAATACAAAATGTGTTATATTTCAGGCCAATTACGTGACAGAAAAGTGCAGTTAGTCATTTAAATTTCATAGTCAAAATAAATTACACATTTCTCTTCCCAAATAAATGGATTCCAAAAAATGAGAGCAGCAATCGTTAAGGAGGCTATCAAGAAAATTCTTCTTAGATTAATCAATAAATACAATTTTTATCCTTTATATACCTAAATTCCCATTTAGTGTTTTACATAATTACTTTAGTCTCCGTATTCTGGTTTAAGCCTGTATTTGACAACACAATGCTGAGTTAAAACATAAAATTTTAAATTGAACTTTAACATACCTATTTTTTTTGAGGGGAAAAAAAAGCTTGTTCCCATAGAAGACCTATTTACAACAAATACCACGGTGTTCTGAATTATAACACAACTAAACAATTTTCCAATTTGTCAAAAATAGTGAAGAAATCAATCAAAGAACAGATTGCACAGTTATTTTTATAAAACTAATCTAAATGTATCCCTTCTCCATACAGATCATATTCCTTATATAAGATATAGTTCTTTAGTACTGGTGGAAGTGGAAACTTCTTCATGGCTGACAGTTTCTGGAGTCTCCCTAATCCCATGAGTTTACGTATTTTCAGACGACACAGATGCTTCAATGAGCGAGGATTATCTAAGAAAACAGCAAGAGAGAAACAGAGGGAAAAACAGTGTCATTAACAATGATACTACCCCAGTTTGCAATCTCAAAACATGCTGTAATAAAATTAACATCGAAATTTATTACTTTGGAGTGCTATTAGCTTGTCAGTTCTGAATAAAATACCATTATTTTTACTTGCAAGATGTCACGCTACATGCTGCTGATATTCATAACCAACCTTCTGCTTTCAGCTAATATCTGTCTAATATTATTGTCCACTTTGCAAACATGCACATGGTGCTGAATCTCCAAAGTATCTGAATTGCTAAACCAGTATCTTATCTTATCTTATCTTATCTTATCTTATCTTATCTTATCTTATCTTATCTTATCCAGTATAATACATGATGAGTGGTAAAGGTTCTCTCCTATTTTTTCTAGATGCACAACTTAAAAATAGCGATGCTGAGGTCAGTCACAAACTATGAGTTTGTGCTGAGTACCAGAGCAAACTATGTGGTACTATGTGGATATTTCTACAGTAATAATAAGGCACGAGGACCAGATCATATCATGCTTGGGACTCTTGAGTCTTCTAAATTAACACTTAATAAGAGAATTTACATCACTGGAAGTGCACAGTATAATTTAGCTTTCCTAACAGATCAATGTATTTCAACATACCTGAAGTACCAGTACTTAAGACAATCAAATTATTTTGATGTTCCTGTGACAATAATGAGAAAGTTTCCTCTGCATGCTGGTATAAACTACCAAATCAGAATTAAATACAGGGTATAAGCTTTAATTCTAAGTATTTTACTCTTAAATAGTTGATGTTAAATGAAATCTTATTTGCAAATTTTAAAAAAAGATTAAATAAAATTAATGAATGCAAAAATAACTGATTATATGTTTCCCTACCAGAACAACATATAAGTGAAAATAAGGAAAAGACAGATAAGAATAAAAAGAATAATAAATTGTTTTATGTTAGATATGTTGATGACCCTTCAAAGAATTTTATCAATAAATATGCAAATTTAATAAAAACTGGTATTACAACTCATTATCTAAATCTCAAAGTCATAATTCCAGTTTATCATCTGGATATTTAAGGAGTATTTCCCAATGCATTTAGCCAACCATTACGCAAAGCTGCTGCTGTGTAGTTTATACCCTGTATATACAAACATTTTCACATACCAAAACAAGTTGTCAGATGATATTTTAAGGACAATTAGAAGTTCATTCTTTCCATTAATTGAATTTAGGATTTTAAAGTATAATTACAGTAGCTATAACATAATTTTAAATAATAATTGCTTCTGTATTACTATCTAAATCAACTATCCTTCCAAATGTGGGCCCCGGTTACCCGCCACACACATGCAATCACATACTCTGAGTTACCAGGTGACTTTGTCAAATTTTGCAAATCTGATTTATGAGTTAAACGAGACGCCTTTTAAAATCAAAGGACGTTGCACTACTGGCCTTAGTACTTCTCAGTTTGTTTTACCCAGGCTTATTTTTCAAGTGGGAAAGGTTTAATTTCAGCACTGAATTGGTAAGGAAATCAAATCTCCTGCATCTCAAAGTTTTCTCCTGAGATGATGGCAGATCTTGAAAGATCTGCTGTACTTAGGAAAAACTATACACAGCTAAGAAGTGGGATTCATCTAATAACTTATGGTAGCCACAACATAAATGCCCTTTAAACTGAATTAGAAGTCCTTGTAGCAATGAAAGGAAATAATCATCTCAATTCATCTCATCCTAATTTATGTCCACAGCAGATGAGAAATTTTCCCACAGAGATGACAGCTCAGATGTGGATATCCATACTGTAGATTTTTAAGTTAAGGAAGGTGAAGCCTATCTTTATTGCCATGAAGGGGGAAAGGTCCAGGATAATATATTTTAAAAATATAATCATACATAGGAAATATTTTTCGACTACTGACAACTGTATATCATGACAAGCAGAGTTTGGAAATGATGGTACGATTGTTATGGAGCACTCATTGTCACCACTTCTAACCACTGGCTATTATGGGATGTAAAACCTGCTCTTATGATATTGCTCAAACAACTCGTAAAGCTGAAAGATCAAAGGAACAAAAAAGAAAGACAGGCCAGCAATATTTGCCATTAAAAAATGTATCTCACAGCTGTACAGTGGCTAGTATCTTAAAAATGGCTAATAAGGTGTTTGAGAAGTAGCTCAACAGTCCCAACTACCTCTAAGGGCAGAGGGTATGTCACAGAACAGTGACCTTCTCTGTGAGAGCAGTTCTCACCAGCTGTATGTTTGCCATATTCCAGTGAAGGGAGTTAATGTGTGACTAGTGGAATAGATCTGTGTCAATCTGAGAAATGGACGCAGGCAAAACCTTCACTCTAAGTAGTGTACTAAAAGGGAGTGTAAAATATTCTGGTTGAATATGGTGTGGTATAGACCACTGAAGTCTCTAATAAATCATAAATTCATTAAGTGGAGGTTAGATATTTACCCAGTATCTGCCGTATCTCTGCCCATTCCTTCTGGGTTTCCAGGACAAACTTAATTTTTGTGCATAGAGGAACATAATCCATATAATCAATGAAAATACGAACCACTTTTCCTGCTAAATGTTTCAACCAAGGAACAGCAATAAAATCACAGAACTGAAAGGGAAAACACATCAGAAATTTCAAAACCTGTGCAAAGGAATGCCAAAACAACAATTTTTCAAGCAATTATAGAAAATAATTGAAGTGTTAGAAATAATTTTGACAAGGAAAAACTAATACCTAAGCAGAAGTTATTTGCTTCCATGCTTAACTTCTGTGATCCCTTAATCTGTCTGGACAGGCTCCATAGCCAATATCTGTGATAACACGGCTATAATTTCCTACACTGTTCTGCTTGACAGTGATTTCTCCTTGGAAGCACATCTATTCCATTCGTTGGGACAGAAACAGAAATTCCAGTTTCTTGCCCTATGGCTTCTTAACTCTTTCTTCCTAAATCTCTAATGCACAAGCCTAAAACTACAGTCACTCCTCGCATATAATATTCTCCATCCTAGGGTCAAAACTGAAAAAAGACTCTTTTATATGAGAGGAGCTTTGAAAAGGGATTTTGCCTGTATGTTAATTGTGCACAATTATCTGGGAATTTTAAAACTGGCTAATGAAAAAAAGAGAAGGAAGTAAAGTGTGTATTTACTGGATTATCCTTAATTACAGAAGAAGTCCATCCTGGGAGAATTTCTTCCTCTGGAGTTGACCACACAAAGGAATTTCCAAAGATGTCTTGATGCATGCAGTCAAAGCACATTTCCACATTGTATCCATGGTTGAGCAAGAGCCTCAACATCACCTCATCATTCAAGGCGTACTGAATGGCACTGGGGAAATGGGTATCATTGACCAGCATGAAGTAGCAGTTGACATTTGCTCCATAGGACAGCAGCAGCCTTACGATTTCATGGTTACCAGCTCTCACTGCCACAAGGAGACAGTTTAAAGGGTCCTTGTTCGGATTTGCTCCTGCTTTGAGTAATATTTCGGTGCAAAGAATGTCGTTGTTAGAAACAGCAAAATAGAGGGCTGTTTTCCTTTCATCATCATAACTGTCTGAAATGTGCTCAGCCAACAGAGCATTGACATCAAAGTCACTTTCAATGAGGAGCTCTAGACACTGCAAATTCTGGCCATCTGCTGCTGAGTGAAGAGGACTTAACCCACTCCTCTGGATTGCAGTTTTGGATGTCACTGGAATGAGATACTTCAGGGCCCTAAAAAACAGTGAAGAGAAGTAGTAAGGCATCTCCCTTCTGCAAGAAAACAGAGCAACATCCAGCTTTTCGATAACTTACTTGACAAGGCAGAATCTACAGATGATTCCAAATCACAAGCATCTGTTTTGAGTAATGTCAAATGGCACCTTGTGATAATTTGTTTCAGTGGTTTTCACTAAGTCCTAGGCGGTAAGTTTTCCATTTTGTAGTTTATGCACTAAAATAACACTTAAACTCCAATGCATATTAATGTAATAGAGGCACTTCTGAAAAACAAATGGTCTGTACATTTGCATGTTTCACACAGTCTTCCTCAATTTGATCCTGAGCCACAGAGTATCTTAAACACACCGTGAAGCCCGAGCTCATACTCACAGGTAATGCCCCTCATAAGCTGCTTTGTGTATGGGAAGCAGTCCTGCCTTGTTAGGCACATTGCCACTTCCTCCGTACTCCAGCAGAAGCGCTATGCAGTCTGGATTACCTCCTCCAGCAGCTTCAAACAGGATGGATGAACCGTCATCTGCTAAGGCCTGGACATCTCCACCTTGAGGAAGGAGAGGGAATTTATTGTTATATCCCAATTAATTTGCAGCTCATCACAAAAATCAGGCCAAATTACTTACAGACAATACATGTGCATTTTTTTTTAACCTGACCACATACCTTTATGAATAAGATGCTCCAGCACATCGCAGTGACCATATTCAGCAGCAACACCTAAGGGTGTTACTCCATATCCATCCTTAAGGTTCACATTTCCACCGTTCTTTAGAAGAAGAGACACAATTTCTTTGCAGCCCTGTTTTGCAGCTTCATGCATTGCCGACCAGCGTCTCGCACACGGCTGGTGGATATGACAGTTATGTTCAATCAGAGTAGACACCATCTGAAAAGAGCGCCTTCTTACAGCTTGAAAATAATAAAAAAGGAAGAAAATAATACAATTACATTTTTAGAAATATAGACTTTTGAAAGTTAAAAGATGATTTAGTATGTCTAGAATCATTTTTGCATGCTTTTTTTCTTTTTTCTCTCTTTTTTTTTTTTTTTTTTTTCTGTACTGATATAAGGAAGCTAAAAATATTCCCAGTTCTGGAAATCTGGGAATCAAACTCACTGGTGAGTGAACAGCGATATCCACTACACAGGAAATGAAGATAAAACACAAAGCTGTAAAATATGTCAGTTTTGAACATCTGGGGCAAAACCAGCACCAGTTAGATTCTGAGAAAGCAGAAGTGACTTACAGAAAGAAAAAGCAACATTAAAAATTAATACAATATTAGAACACAGTCCTTTGCTTTTAATCATGATATGAACATTACAATGCCCCTGGAAAATTACAGTTGTAACTTAGTCATCTGCTATCTCTCCTAATCCCGGAGTGTGCTCTGTGGCTGCTAGTAGTCGAAGTACAATCGACACCTGCCATTCCTAGAGGCCAAGTTCTGTGCTTTTGAGATGCCCAGTTTGAAGGTTTCCTGGATAACTGCAAGAGGAACTTATTTGCATAGAAGATCCAGAGTGAGATCTGGTATTCTAATTTCTTTCTTTCTAATTTCACTTTGAAACTGCCCATTGGAACAGTGGGTCTGACTGATGACGGAGCTGAGGGAAGAGTTAACTTTTGTTGAATAGTCAATAGTTTTAAAGAGGCAACAGTCTTCAAAATTATCCAAATTATCTAAGTTCAAAATGATCAAAAATTATCATAGTAGAATATTACTTAATGAACCTGAAAGCAGAAATGATCCCATTAAATACTTGTTCAGCATTTACCTTTGTGTGTACTGAAGAATCCTTTAAACCAGAGTTTTAGAATAAAAATGGGTAACTAAATCAAAACTAACTCTGAATATCATCTATTAAGTGCTAACCACCTTTCTGTTGTGCTGAGTCTATGACTGAAATACATGATACAGATCAGTATCTACTAGCACATTTCAGCACCAAGTGATATAAAACACAAAAATTCATATAAACAACACATACCTGTCAATATTTAGGAGTTTGTATGAGGAAATATTTATGGAAATAAATTGTAATTACAAGAGAAAACACCCTTTACATTAGCACTGGTTGTTCTTTTCAGGATTCAAATAGCAAAGGCTGAAAATAGTGTAAAAGTTTCAGGCTTTAAACAGCTGTAAAGGAAGTCTCTCAAAATGCTTTGGGGCCTTAAAATTTCAATACATTAATTGCATCTGAATCAAAGTTAAAAACAGCTCAGAGAACTGAGCATTTAAATACTGAAAATTATATAGTGTATTTTCTTACTTAGTATAACAGTATTTTGCTATACAGTGTATGAGGACTGTAGCAATTTATCTTGAGAAAAAATGAATACATTTCCATTTTCAACAGGAAATGGAATCTGGTGCAGCTAAATTACTCCTATATGATAAGGTATTGTTAATTCTATCAGCTGAATAAAATCTTCCGGAAGAATCGTTTTTCTTGAGGTACTGATTAGCAATATAGTTGAAACTCATTTGTAGTACAGGAGGGTTGATCTTGTTGATTTTGCTGATCATTTATTGATTTGGAAATCAATAAAAATAAAAATGTTCAGTATAAATGACGGGCCCAAAAGTTTAAGCAGCAGCCTATTCTCTACAGTACTCATACCTAAAGATACACAGGACCCAGCTGCTAAAGGCCTTAAGGTATCTGCAGGTCTGCAGAAATTGTCTTGAAGAAAATAAACAGGTATCAGACTCTCTGGAGTATCTTGAGGAGGAAAATTTCAGCATGGTGACCACCTAAAGCTTAACGAGTGTTGACTGAATGCTGGGCACATTTTAAAAAGAGCTGGATATTAGTTTCATCTAAAAAAAGATGGCCACCATTTTAAATACAAGCTAACGGGAGTACTTAGATCAGTAGAAATTACTCACAGCTATAAGGATTTGAAAAAATGGACCTAATTTCCCCTTGTTAGAGTCAGTTCTTGAGTGTGCAGAAATGGATGTGCCAGTTTAGCTGCTGAGAAATATGACATTTCTTTTTGCTTAAGCACAGTGAAAGGAGGCAATTACCAATAAGAAGTGGAGTCTCTCCTTTGTCATTGGTGGTATTTGGCCAAACACCCTTTTCCAGTAACGTTCTTACATTTTCCACCAAGCCAGTTTTTGCTGCCAAAGTTAATGGTGTTTCTCCATCACATGTTTTGTATTCCCACATGGTTTTATAAGATGCTAAATGAAAAAAAAGATAAAACTGAAGCATGAGGCTGCTACACATATATACATCAGAAATCTTTACATGCTATATTTTTATGAAAATTACGTGTAATTATGCTTAACTTAATACAACTAGTACTGCCAGGCCAAGTATTGAAGGGTAATTTTTGATCTCCCTATCTGTAGACTTTTGAACAAAGTATTACAAAATTACCCATGTTCTTTGCTCCTGTAAATTCATATGGCCTCCCCAAACAAAATTTGAATGATATTTACACAACATAGGAAGATACTCCATCAATGAATATGTCCATATTTATTTTCAGTTCTAGCCTATTTCTGTGCATGCTTGCTTATTTTTATTTCCTTGCTGCTCCCACTATCTTGGGTGTTGTGTGACATCTTTACCTTACTCACCATCCAAAATGATTTCAAGTATTTGCTGAATTGGCTGAGCCGCAGCTTCATGCAGGGGGAACCACCCTCTATCGTCAGCTTCATCCAAAGCATATTTCTTTTTCACAAGGTCTTGGAGCCCAAATATTTGAGCTTAAAAAAAAAAAAAAAGGTAAATGAATGAGATGCAGTTCAAAAGAATATGCTGAAAGATAGGAATTTTGCCTAAGGACTATTTTATTTTAGGGGGTTTACCTTGCCTTATGGCTGTTACAATTTTCCTGTTTTCCTCGCTGGGTGGTACAAATCTATCCAAAAATAAAGGAAAAAAAAAAAAAAAAAGAAAGAAGAATGTAGGAAATACAAGTAGTAGACACATTATATGGAATCATTTATTCAGTATTTGCCATTTGCTTCTCATCTGAGTCAGCTTTCTTCCAAATACATTAGTTGCAACCTAGATTAGCCTTGTGGCCTTTTTAGTTAGTGGAACTTCCTAGAAATACAAAGTTCCCAAATTAAATGCAATTCATGTTGTAAACCGATCTCACGAGGAATCTCCAGAGTGTGTTTTTCATGATGTTTCCCCTCCTTCCCACTCTGCTCCCCTGGCATAGCAGATCCCTGAAGGTGCTGTGAAGTGTCAAATCTTCTACTTTGGAACAGAAATGGACTGAAAAGAGTATCTGTCATATAGTGCAGAAACAGGCTCTTCAAGTCCAGGGACATTTGATAGTAAATGATAATTTGGGGGCATAGAGGTATCTATTAATTAATGAAAGAGAGCTTCATGGCATCAATGTTACGTTTTTTACTTTGTCAAAATATTGACAAAATAGCTTGTCAATATTTTTAACAATATCATTTAAACCTGCATGTAAGAGGAGTCCAGTGTTGAACTAATTGAACACTAATTGAACTAGTGTTTGCTCATGAGTTATTTTGGTGCTAAATACATCATAATAACCAGACTTGGAGGGAAAAAAAAAAAA